TGATCAATCTTACATGCCTAGATCTGGTTATTTGAGTAACCGCTTTGAAGCTAATATGTAATGCAACAACCATGGTTAATTTCCTATCACCTTGTTTTGAAATTTTGTATTGTTTTTATGTTGTTTTATGTCTTTGTTTTCTGTTATTTTGCTTTTGTTCTTTTCTCTTTAAAATAACAAAATAAAATAAAATAAAATTCTAAAAAATCCCCAGCGATGCTCAGCACTAGGGTGTAAATGCGTGGCTCCCTCCCTCGTTGGACAGAATCAACCTGAGTCTGTGCCCTGCCCACAGCTCGTGTCCACAGTTTACCTGAGGGGCAAATCCTGCCTGCGGCCACCCTTCGTGGTGGCTGTTGGAAAGGCTGCCCTTTCTCCGCATCCTATCCCCCTCTGCTCCTTAGCTCATCACCTCCCATCTCTCCCACAGGCTCCCCGCCCCCAGCCCTCATATCAGAGACTACTTCGGGGAAACTCACTTCAGGGGTCTTTGATATGTGAGTCATGGGAAGCTAGGAATGAAATGAACCAAGGAAGAGTGGAATAAAAATTGTGCCTGGATTTTTAAGTGTTTATTTTTTGCTGGGGCCATTTTTCTGAGATGTAGAAGAAGACTGAGGGAGAATGGCAAGGAATTGAAGATCACAGGCTCATAGTTGAGAGCAGAGACTGCCAGAGGACCCCGGGGTTCCTATCCCAGTGCTGCCACTTCTCTGCAGGAATTTAGGCAAGTGACTAAATACACCTATACCTCAGTTTCTTCATCTGTAAAATGGCACCAAAAACAGTACCTAGTGGGGATCTGATGAGGACTGAATAGATATAAAGCCCCAAGATCAGTGTCTGGTGCAGGAAACACTATTATTATTATTATTACTACTACTATACCACTATTATATGGTGATGACTTTCAGTGTCAGTATTATCACTTCACACATGTAAGATCAAGATGCCCTGCTGACATCTAATTATAGCTGGCCCAAGGACTCCTAGGTCTTTGGGGAAACAGTAGTGAGATAATGAAGGATATGAAAGGATCTGGGAAAGTCTTTGTTTACCCCTCTCTGCCTGTCCCTCTGAGCTCCAGAGACCATGACTAATTCCCCTTGGTCCCAAGGTTTGACTTCTGGTTGCTGAGAGCAGCAGCTCAGGGAAGCCACTAAAGAGACAAAGAAAGGAAGAAAGGACAGTGCTACTGGCCACAGGTAAGGAACCATTAATGAGATCATCTCAGTAGGGGTCCTACAGCTAGTCCACCTGGGAGCTGTGCTTATTACCTCCAAGGCAGCTCTGGGGATTTTAGGGTTTGTCAACCCCAGAGTTAAAAGGTTTCCCGAGAATGAAGCGCTTGGGCTTTGCAGATCTGAAATGATAAGACGGCGCTTGGAGCCTGGAGTAACCTGAGCCGCCCTGGCTTTGCAGAGCTGGCTCGGTTGTTCTCACGGCCGGCCGGGAGTGTGGACAGAAAAGCCAGCCCAGGTAGGCAGCCAGCTCCTGCTTCCTCTCAGAGAAGGGCTGCCTGTGGAGATAATGACCCTCAGCTAAAAGCAGCTTAATCCCAAAAGTGGCCTGAAGAAACGAAGTTGACTGTCAGAGGGAGTGTCATCGGGCAAGGTGGAAATACCTGGCACCTCGGTGAGTCACACTGAGTGCAAGACTAAAGGAAAAATATGCCCCCTTAATATGTATGTAAAATTATATATATAATTTTTTCAGTTACTTTCAGAATTAAGTTTTGAAAATGTTAGCTATCAGTGTGCTTCCATTAAAGCTGGCAAAGGAAAAACTGACACATATTCTAAGAATAAAATGATGCCGTGAGTTTTGATACAGCTAATTTTTTTTAACTTTCGATACATTTTTTTCAACTAATGTTTTTGGGGGAAAATTACCTTTAAAAGACTATGAAAATATAGAGAAAGAGGCACCTTCCTCCTTTGGCCACACACCGAAGTCAGGTCCCGCTACGGCGCTGTCAGATCTTGTCACTGATGTCCTGCTCATCGTGGATAAATGTTAGCACGATTCTGGTTTTTAAAATTATTGCATTTAAGTACGAGCTATCTGGATTACTGAGTTTGTTGGCAGTGTCCTAGATTTTATGCACAAGGACCACTCACCTCTCCCCACTTCTGGCCCTCAGTGAGTTAAACCACTTGGCACTAACCCCAGCAATGCCACCCGGGGCCTGACACTGCCTCCCACACCAGGGTGGCAAGGTGCATGCTTAAGGGCATTGATTATGGTATGGGGAGCCCGTTCCAGAGCCCCTCAGAAGACTGCTTACATAGTTGGCATATGATGCTTTGACTTTTCAAGCACAGGAAAACACCTCTGAAATATGATGAAAAGACTTGCAAAATAATGTCTATAATAAAGCAAACATTTCTATTTGCACTGTTGGAAATGGCTCTTGTGCATTAGCCCTGTTCTCACAACTGTCCTGTAAGGTCATCAACGAGGAAATTGGGGGCCAGACAAGCTAACTGTCCCAGGGGTACAGCCGGAGTACAGCAGGGAAGCAGCAATCCAGCCTCAGAGTTCAAAACGTTTAGTCACTAAAGTTAGAGTGCTTCTCCTGGGATTTCAGAATCTGTATTTATACATGTGCATGTGACATGGGAGAATCAGGAGGCAGGTCACAAACTGTTACTGATGGTTATCTCAGGTGGAGGTGACCTTACAGGATGCTTTAGCTTTCAATACAATTTGATTTGAGCAATATGACTTCTCAACAGGAAATATAGAAACCAGAAAAAGCCATATTAAGGTCACAGTGTAACAGATCCTATTCTGGGCACTTTCAAAGTGTTACCTCTTTTCGCCCTTGGAAGAGCCCTGTTAGTACACCATTCTACAGGTGGGAAAACTGACATTGGCAAAGGCGAAGAGGCTGGACTAAGCTCACAAAACTTGAAAGCGATGGAGCCTGATTTCAAATTCAGATCTCCAAAATAGCAGTGTGCTGAACACAGGCTGTGACTTGCTTTTCTTCAGTATGTTTAATGCCTGCATGTTGGTGCCCTGCAAAGAAATCACACATTTATAGTTAAGCCCCTATTGTTGGGCATTTACGGTTCTGAGCTACTAATATGGAGTCTGCTAGGAGGAGGCTCCTTGCCCCTGGGGCATACTACTGGTGCTAGTTGAAGGGCTGCAGGCACGGCTTGGTCCAGCTACCTCAGGCTGTCTCGTCGGTGGCCCTTTCTCTTCAGATTCCAGACTCAGAAAGGAGCCACACAGGATGAGGGGAGTGTCCCCTCCCACACACACACACAGGGTGAGGGGATGGCGTTCTCAATCTGCCTCCCAGTCCCCAGAGAACCCTCCGGTGCCTGCTGCCGCCGGCGACGCCATCTGCGCCGCGCAGGTGTGCCCGGGCCCCTGCCCAACCTGGGGGCTGCGAACACTGGGCCGATTGTGGCCCCCGCGAGCCGGGCGGGCAGCTGCGCCCGAGCTGCCATCTGTGAGCACGGGGCGGCGCGGGAAGGGCGGCGGACGCGCCCTCGCCGGGCCCCATTCAAGCGCTGCCAAGGCCTAATTGATGAGAAATGGCCCCGAGCAGGTGCGAACCTGTCTCCCGAGGCGGCGGCTCGGAGGGCGGGCGGGGAGCGCAGCTGTCGAGGGGTCATTACCGCGGCGGCGTCCCCGGAGCTTTCCAGCCTGGGGCTGGGGCTGGGGCTGCGGCTGGGGCTGCGGCTGGGATGGGCGTGGAGAGGAGAGGGGGCGGGCAGGGCGGGGAGGGGGACCCTGTCCCCTTTGCCGCACTCCAGAGCGTGGTGGTCAGGACCTTAGAGCTCCACGGTGCCCCTTCAGGTCCTGCAACCTCCCTCTCCAGGAGGCTGCAGCAGGTAGGACCAGCCCGGCCCCTAAGACACCAGCTAGTGATAGCTCCTCTGGGGACTCCAGTCGGGGCTGTCCCCAGAGGCCCTCAGCAGCTGTCGCCTCTGTCTCTGGGTCTTGCAGCTCCAGGTGTATATCTATGGAAATGGAGCAGCGCTCTGAAGTGTCCCATTTTGCATGTTTACACCGACTGCACCGACCCATTAATCGAGGTGCAATCAAATTACCACTTTTACCTAAGGTGTTTACAGGACCGATCTGTACAATTCCAGTTTGCCCAGGACCCTGCTGGGGCAGATGAGGCGGGCCGCACAGGGTCCAATCAGAGGCAGCTTCCTCTCTGTAGGTGCTGAGCCTCCTCTTTGTTTGGGCCCCAGGGCTGAGGAAAGAGCTCACTGAGGTCTTTTTCAGCCACTCACCAGGGCAGCCTGCAGGCCAGCTGGGTAAGACCCACGTTGTCAGTATCGGACAATTTTCTGCCCGGAGCAGCCAGAGGAGCCTTTTGAAAATGAAAAATCCAGGCTCATCCCTCAGTGCTGAAAATCTGTGATACTTTACTAGTCCACAAAATAAAAATAAAAATGTTGACTCCCTACCGTGGCCAGTGTCCAGGACTCCCCTATCCTCGGTTTTATACCCGTGTCTCTGCTACATGCGATCTGGGTACATCCGGGACACAACCCATAGTACAATGTGTACTGTGTGCCCGGCCCTGCTGCAGGCTCTGCAAAACAGCAACGAACAAAACAAATGAAAAGGGCGGGCATTCTAATGGGGAAGGCAGATAAGAAACTGACCACATTTAAAACGCCCCCCAGGCCTTCAAAATCACCCAGTTGCTCTTTCCTCCGGCCCTGTGCGATTCCTGTTGGTATAATCCTGTTCCCCGGAAGTTCGCGTGCTGGAACCTCCAGAGCTTGCTTTAGTGTGTTACCTCCTCAGGGCTTTCCCTGAACATACTACTCAAAGTCATGATTTAGTCTGGAATTCTCTGTTCTTTTTATTCAGTTTTATTTGACCCCGCAGTACTCACGGCCATCTGACATACTATGTATGAGTTTTTTTTCCTTTCTCTCCAGTGTCTGCGTTAAGCACCGTTTGACTACATTTCCCAGCATGCCTTGCATTCTCTCCAATCTCTGCGTTAAGCACTCTGTTTGACTACACTTCCCAGCATGCCTTGAAACTTAATGTGGCCCTGTGATTCGGTTGGGGCCAGTAGTATATGGTGAGGATGACCGGCGCCACTACAGACCTGGGGTAGAAAACCTCCTGTAGGATCCTGCGCTCAGATGGCTCTCTTCCCTGTATGAGTACAGCGGGTGCAGGGATGGAAACCCTTAGAGGCCCTGGACTAGGATTTCTAACCTGGAGTCCATACAAAGACACCCCAGGGATCTATTCTTAAAAACCTGCATTTTTACTTTTACTCACCTCTAATTGAAAATTGCCATTTCCTTTAGTTACAAACCACAGGAGTAGTAACAAGGTATGTACCTTTTTCTGGGGGGGGGGAGGGTTGATTGCAAATGTTTTCACATTACCTGATAATTACTGCAAAATATCTCCAAAATATTGTTTATATCAAACTTCCTGCGAAGATACAGGTAGTAAATATTTTAGGCCCTGTGATACTGTCTCTGTCTCAGCTATTCAACTCGATATGTTATAGTCCAGAGACAGCCATAGACATTACATAAATGAGTGCCACCATGTGCTAATAAAACTTTATTCATAAAACTAGTTTGGCCCACTGACTCTAGTTCGCCAATCCTAGTTTTATACTGATCACTGCTTTAAAATTACATAGTACTGACTTACTACTATATGTGGCTATTCGATGTATTAATAGAGAAGCAAACACATTACTCTGTGACCGATTGGGAGAAAAACATGTTTTGTTAACCATGTTTCAATATAAATGGTGTCCTTTATAATCCTAGGTGTTTGATTTTTTACGTTTAAAGCATCGTTCCAGGAAGATGTCCCTAAGCTTCAGCACACTTGTAAAGCAATCTGTGTCACCGAAGGGGTGAAGAATGCCAGGCTCAGGAGCCACAGACGGAAGGACCTGTGAGGTGGCCCTGCTCTGCCAATCTGTAGTCAGCTGCAATGAGGAAAATAAAGCTTTTCTTTTTTCTTTTATTTAAGAACCAAGACTCAGGACTGTTTGTCATAGCAGCTGGCCTGATCTAAGTCTCTCCCTAAGGATCATTGCCTGATGAGGGCAGGACTTGGGCTCTCCAGGGTGGTGCCTAATGCCAGTTCCCAGCAAGGCTTGGGAAAGAGCTGAGCTCTCCGACTGAGGCAGTTTCTGGGTGGAGAGTGAGGTCCTGCAGGGTGTGGGCAGGCTGTGGGCTGCTGGCAGGGGACCTGGAGGGAGCCATGGCCTTGACCAGAGTGGGCATTGGAAGACCAGCCCCTAAAGCAGTCATTCCCGGGACAGGGCTCAGGCAGTGGGCTCTGGGCTTCGCCCCAGCTCTGTCCTTAAATTCCCTTCATCTTCTCGAGTTTCTGTGGCAGGCTGCAGACCCCTGCACTGTGGCGTGGAAGGGAAAACCACGCCTGGCTGAGACAGGACTTCTGCAAGGTGAGCGCCGGACACCCTTGCTCTCCATGCCTGGGCTCAGGGCTTGTTTCATTCCTGGAAACCCTGCTTCCCTCTCTGCTCCTTCCCTCCGGCTCCCGTTCCCTACTCACCCCTTAAACACCAAGAGCCCATCTGTAGGTCTGTCTGCCCCTCCGTCCCTCTCCCCTTTGGCTCCCTGCTTCCTCCCACGTTACCTGGCTCATCACCGCCCTCTGTACCTACGGTCTCAACTGTGAAATGCGGATGATGGTAACAGCTTTTTCCTTGCAGGGTTGAGGTGAGGGTTAAATGCCAGGGCTTAGCTTTCACCGTACCTGAGGGCAGGTGGAGACCCACACATGCAGTCTCCAGCCATTCCGTTTGAACTGAGAAAGATGCAAGTGGAAATCATACCCCTGATTTCATGGATGTTATTGCTTCAAATGAGGCTGCATTTTAAAAATGAATCTGTTTGAAGAAGCATCAAGTGGCTGGGAAGACATTAAGTGGTTTGTGCCTGTGGGAAGCATCGTGAGGACAGAGGGGATGACAGAAATTGGGGCAACTCTGCAGGGAGCGGGGGACCCGCCTCTGAGTATTTGGGCTCAGAGCCGGGGTGGCAGATCAAAGCACTAGAATCGAGCGGAGGTTTGGAGGGTGACATAGGAGTCCAGGTCATGGACAGTTGAGCCACTGTGGCCTGGCCTGCTCTCTTTCAGGCCACAGTGGATGAAGACACTGCTGACCCCTCTGTAGGGAGTCCAATAGTGTCTCCCAGAGATGACCAGTCCAAGTCCAGCCCTGGAGCCTGTGATGTTACTGGGGACATTGGCAAATGTGATTAAGGTAAGGGTCTCAAGTTGAGCTCCTCTGGAACCAAGGTGGCCCCTAAATCCAGTGATGGGCCCTCTCATGACAGACAGACAGCAGACACACAGAGACAGGGAGAAGGCTGCGTGGAGACAAGCAGGCATCTGGGTGGCTTTGCCATAAGCCCTGCAGCACCAGACACCACCAGGAGCTGAAGGAGGAAGGGAAGGATCCCCTGGCAGATTTGGAGGGAGCACCGGCCTGCTGACACCTGTTGGGGTGGCTAGGAGCACTTCAGGGGCCTGGCTAAGAGCGCTGGCTGGAATCCCCTTCGGTGCGGCGACAGTGAGATCTTTTAAGGGCTCACGGTTCTCTGCATGGCTAAGTCATGAACGGCTTTCCTCAAAGCTCTTGCTGCCACCATGACCTCAAAGCCAGCATCGCAGCTCCAGGATGACGTTGTCAGACCGGCTGATGAAGAGTCACCGCAGGGACAAGTATTTAAGGTCCGTTGCTGTGCTTAGGACCCTCGAAAGGCCTTGAAATGTTTTAGCTTTGTAGAACACAAACTCAATAGTGGCTTCCCCGAATTTGACATTTGTCCTACAAATGTGTATATAGGACATTATGGGTTGAATTGTGGTCCCCTCCAATTATATAGTGAAACCCTAACCCCCAGTGCCTTAGAATGTAATGTTTAAGATAGTCTTGAAAGAGATAATTAAGTGTGAGTACACTCCTTAGGGTGGGCCCCAATCCCAATATGACTGCTGTCTTTATAAGAAGCGATTAGGACACAAACACACACACGTATGAAGACACGGAAAAGACGGCCATGCACAAGCCAAAAAGAGGCCTAGGATGAGACCAACCCTGCCCACACCTTGATCTGAGACTTATAGCTTTCAAAACTGCGAGACAATACATTTTTGTCATTTAAGTCCTCCAGTCTGAGATACTCTCTTATGGAAGCCTTATCAAGTTAGTACCTTATGTGACATTACCAATACTAGGTACAAAGCCAAAAGAAACTCCCAGACTGTCAGATGTTCTTTCTCTCTGATAAACCTTTCTAAAGAAAAGAATGAATGATCTTCCTTTCCTCTGTAGAAAAATGATATCTGCAAGAAGAAATGATCAAGAAGTCTATGGTCTGAGGGGGGGATAACAGCTTTCCAGTTTCTTTCCTACCTGAGCTGAGCCATCTCAAGACATTTCAGATTTTCTTGTGATCTTAAATCTGCCCTGTGAATTGATAACTCTTAGTGTATGCCAAGCATTTGGCAAATAAAAATGTGTTATCTTTTTATGCCTTTCATGATGTGTACCAGTTGTTAAAAAAATAATTGCTTGTCAGTTCCCTTTTTTGAACAAGTGTTTTACTTTCATGCCTAATTTGGTGTTAGGGTTTGGCCTTCTTAAAGAGGGGGTGCACCTGATAGTGCAAGCTTCAGGCCCAAGACGGGGATCGCTCCTCATCCCTCCCCCTGAGCCCCACCGTGGCACCATTTTGGGTGCCCCCTGCCCTTCCTGGCCTCCAGTCTCTCTCACCCTCTCCGGGCTTTCCTGGGAGGTGCGCACTAAGCGCAGAAGGGAAAGATGCATAATTGATGAGACTCCAAGCCTGGCTGGGCTGACAAGGTCAATTAATTATTAAACACAGATTCAACGGGAGAAATTTCATTATGGGGTCATTTAATTAAGTGGCGGGCCAGAGGGACATTTGAGATGGGATTTAAAAGGCTCCTGTTTCTGAAGCAAATGTGAGGGTGTGAACTAAAAGGAAATGACTCTGCAACCTAGAGCGTTTGCGTGAACCCACCCTCCATTCCCTGCCTCCCTCTGGTCATCCCTCCTTTCCTCCTTTTCCTTCCTCCCTTCCTCCCTCCTTCCTTCCTTTCTTCCTTCTTTCCTTCATTTCTTCTATATCTTCTGGTTCCCTCCCACGACCCAGGAATCCCTGAGCTCAACACACATACCCAAGAAGGACACGGGTCCTCTTTTACCCTTCTGGGTTGTGTGACTCTGTCCTGGCTGCTGTGGGTCTAGTTTTCTAGATAACAAAAAAATGCATATTCATGATGAAAACCAAACAGCCGCCCACCTTCCATCCCTTATCTCACTTCCCTGGGGTACCGATGTGGACAGTTTGGTGTTTGCAGCTAAACAAGTCTCTGTGCCTGCGGATCCACGCAGAACTTGGCTTTGTGCAGCCGACGCCGTCACACTCCGGGTTCCATCAGGACACAGGCGGCGCAGTCCGCCTGGGTAACAGAGTCGAGTGAACGATATACTTGTAGAATGTGGGCCGGCGGCTAAAGCCGTATAGAATGGAGGGGCGGCCTGGGATGGCATCACTGAGGAGCCATTGCCACCAGGTCTGAAGACGGCAAGCGGGGAGCAATTAGAGCCATACAGGCAGAGACAGAGCCGCCTGCCAAGAAGCACCCGGTGAGTCTGTGGCATAGGGCAGGCAGCCTGGGAGGGGACCATACCCCAGCTCTCTCTCTCTCTCTGAGTCCACCCCTTGGTGGGAGCCAGGGAAGCCAGGGGGAGGGGAGCCTTGGCTGTACCCCCACAGCATTGGGAGCCTCCCCAGGACCCTTCACTGTGTCTGCAGGTTTGGGGAGGCCTTGGGTTCTCCACTCTCAGGTTCTCCTGCCTCCCCCTGCACGCACACTGCCCACCTGGACCTGTCTGGAGACCACCAGGACTGACTTTGGCTCTCTGACCTCTCACATCAGTCACACCGAAAGCCCAGACTGGATCCCTCCTCTGCCCAGCACCCTTGGCTCCATATGGCTTTGCAGACAGCAAACCAACCTCCCTTTCCTCTCCCCTGTTTCCTTTTCCTTCATAGCACTCATCAACCATTGGGCATGTTAGTCCCTTGACTTAGTTTTTATGTTTGTCTTCCTTGACTTGAGCAGATACTTTTGTCCTCTGTTCCTGTTATATCTCAAATACTGAAAAGAGTGCCTGGCACATAGCAGGTGCTCAATTAACAGCAAAGCCTCCAAGCACTTCCACGTCAGAGCACACAGCTCCCAGTTCTTTTATATTACCCCATAATATTTCATTAGACAAGCAGATCTATGGTGCATGTGCCCATTCACACCACACGAGATTTTAGGTAAGTCCCGCCCCACCCCCGCCACCCAGACAGACGTGCAGCAGGAAACCTCTCTCCACGTGCACATCTTCCTCACTCTCGTGTGGCTTTTGCTGCAAGGAAAGTTCTAGAAGTGGAAGCACAGCATCAGAGGTGCTGCACTTCTGTCAGATGCTCTGCAGTTTGGGGCTCACACAACACGGAGAGTTGAGCGGGCCTTTGTGCAGGGTGAGTTTGGATGCTGAGGCTCCCCCACCATCCCGCACTTACTCTGCGAGGACGGAGCTGAGTCTAGACCAGGGTCTGCCCTTGATGAGCTTGGACTCTGAGAAACCACAGTGATCCCAGCACTCCACGAGAGAGCCGAGGCTCGGGCGGTACTCAGCGAGGGCAGGAGTCTCCAGCCAGAGAAGTCACGATGGCTCCTAGGGAAGGGGCCCTTCATGAGCTTCATTCATTAATTCAACAACAATTGATTAAGCACCTACAGTGTGTTGGGTGCCATTCTTGCTGCTGGAAAATAATACCAAATGAATTAGCAAGGTTTTCCTGTCCTCACACACAGAATACCCTGGTAAGGGGAGAGAAGAGGTAACCGAGGAGAGAAAGAAACAGCAGAGGAAAAGCAAAGAGGGAACCACGGGGTGATATCCTGGTGGCTGATGGGCAGGCTGGACCCTAGCCTGGGATGCTCTGGAGGCCTTTTGGGAGGTGACATTCGAGAGTGAGCCATGGCAAGTCTGAGCCCTCCTGGGGGAAGGAGGAAGTGGCGGCTTCCGTGGCTGCACGGTGGATTAAGTTCGCAGCCATTAGGGAGCTGAGGGGACCCAGGGCCTGGAGAGGACCCAGAGAGAGGGCCCTGGTAGGGGAAGGTAGGGAAGAAGGTCTCTGGGGAACCAGATCATGTGGGGCTCAGAGACCATCGTCTGGAACTTGGATTTTACTCTAAATGCAATCACTAGTCATTTGTGGATGTTTAAGCAGAGAGGGGACCTGGACCAGTTACTCTTTTAATGGATCCCCTGTCTGCTAGATGGGGGTTGGCTAGGAAAGGGAGGCAGAGGAGAAGAAGGAAGACCGGGGGCACTAGAACCGCTAGAGACCCAGTCAGGTGACGGTGGCCGGGACTAGAGCGATGCAGATGGATGTCTGAGAAGGAGGTAGGTTTGGGGTGTGTTTTCTGTTCAGAAAGAAGAATGACTGCGCATGCGGGAACAGAAGGGAACGGGGTCTGGTGAGATCAGGGCTGCCCAGGTCGGGGAGTAGAGAGAGCAGAGCTGGGTGAAGGAAGCTGTGCAGGTTGGTTGTTTCTCAACTTGGATGGCTCCTCTGCAGCTCCGTAAACCTTCCTCTGCGCAAGCGTCTTCTCCCACACTTGTCCCCCAACAAAGGTTTAAGAGGGATTGAGGCTGTTGAGAGAACCCCCAGGCCTCTGGGTCACACTCCAAAGATAGTTTACCAAGTTGCTTCTTGAGGGTGAAACTGACAACGTCAGCTGCATAAATGCTGTAAATATTAGAAGAGACATTCAAAACGACAGGCATAACCGAACCAGAAAATTCTCATTTCTAACCAGATACATTCAGTATCTGTTTTTTGTCTACGCCCCCAAAGATGTGCGCAGCTGTCTGGCTTTTGCAGGCCAGCGCCGGCTGCAGATCTCCTGACTGCCATCTTGGGGTCAGGCCCTTGAGTGAACTTGGACGTCTCTGCGGCTGTGAGCAGCTTTAAATCTGGCGGGAAGAGAGGGGCTGGTTGTTGGAAGGGTGGTGGGAGGGAGCCCTGTTGAGGTGGGCTCAGAGGCACACGTGGGAGCCCAGGCAGGTGACAGGAGCAGTGGCGAGGTGTCCCTTCCTCCCTCCAGCAAGGGGAAGAAGCGGAATCGGGTCAGCAGTGGCAGGATTCTGGGTGGGAAGTGATTGGAAGAAACAAGAAGGCACATTTTTGCTTACTTAGTGTTGGAGTTTACTTATTTAATTAGTTGTGGCAATAAAAAGAAGAAATGAAATAATTTTCAAAGGCAGATATTGATGGTGATTGGCTAATAGCCATTCCCACTTCTTTCCCATACATCTCTGACTTTGTTCCATGGTATTAAATGGTACAGCCCCATGGAATGAGTCAGTTAATCCAAGCTACTCACAGTGACTTTGTATTCCTTGGGCAGTGATTGGACTAGGGCTGAATATGTGATCCAGCGTCGGTCACTGGCCCTATAACAAAAGCTTATTCTCTAAAAGAGAAAGAGTGAGATGGAGAGGATAGGTAGATTTGTTTCTCTTTGGAATGATCAATGTGATGTTTGGAGCCATGGCAACTATATTGTGATCAGCATGTGAGCTCTGAAATAATCCCAGCGGCCCTGACTCAGTCCTAACACCACTAAGCCAATCCTGAATCTGCTCCCACTAGACCAGAGGTTCTCAACCACTGACATTTTGGACCAGACAGTTCTTTGTTGTGAGGAGCTCTTTGGTGCCTTGTAGGTTGCTTAGCAGCATGCCTGGTCTCCAGCCACTAGATGCCAGTAGCACCCGCAGCCCAGTCATGACAATAACGAAAGTGTCTCCAGACACTGTCAAATGGCATCTGTACCCTGGTTGGGGACAATTGCCCCATCACGCTTGCTAAGTGATGTAATTATAGATCTCGAGTGCTTGACTGAATCCTCTGCTGATTGGGATTCTGGTACTTGCTGCCCAAGGCATCTTCACTGCTCTTCTGAGGTGTAGCTTTCACTCAGGCCCCCTTTTCTGAGTGGTCTCCGTGGATTCCTTCACTTACCTGCCCATTCGCCAACCTTATGAGGTAGGGATCCTGCAGAGAGATGATTTGCCCAAGGTCACTCGTCAAATAACAACAGAGCTCGAATTCTAGTTCAGGCCAGTCTGACTCTGAGGGTTTACTGTTAACTGCTGTGATTAATAACTTCTGTACTGAGCTGCGGTGTGCAAGCGGGGTGCACGAGACAGTCCACTGGGGCACAGGAAGAAGACATCAGAAATTCTACATATACCTATTTTATCTAATAAGTAAGAAACTAAGCCTAATTAATATTTAACAGGCAGATGTCACGGGTACCCTCACTGAGTTTGCCTGACTGTGTGTGAGACAAACCTCACTGCAGAAACCTGAAGCTAGATGGGACATCACATGCCGTGGGAGAGCTGCAGTGGGGTCCACTGGCA